GTCATCTGCACCTTTCACCTCGATGATGAACATCTTGGCTCCCTGGAAGGCCCAGGAACAGTTTCCCCCCACAGCAGGCAGCTCTGATTCTGGGAAGAGAATCCCATGCCCGTGTCACTCGGACACTAACTGGGAGGAGACCTCTGAGGACATTCCTCAGGGTAGCGACCCTTCAGGGTTTTGAAGGGCTGTGATCGCAGAGCCCCGTGGAGTCTGTGAGAGGGAGAGAGACAGGAGAGTATTTCCTCCTCTGTACAGCATGCCAGCGCACACTTTCTTGAAAATGGGAAATTGCTTAAGAAACGCAGCCATGACCGTAACCTCAAGGCACCTGCTGCCTGGGATACAGCGGCTCCCAGAGAGATGGACCCCAGGTTCCTGAACCCAGGCCCCAGGCTGAACCTGAACCTGCTCTCATCCCCAAGCCTGCCCCCACCTCTGTCCCTGAGCCCAAGCCCAGGCTGAGTGAATCTGTTAACATCCGCCCCTTAGGTGAGCCTATTTGTGCGGCCAGTGGCCAGACAACCCCGTGCACTAGAGGCAGCCTGGGCCTGGGGTCGGGCCCTTTGGTGCCTTCTGTTGTGTCCCTTCCCACCAACCCCCCGCCCTTGCCTGGAGAGCTGCAATCAGGCCCCACCCCCTGGTGCCACACCCCTCATTGTCACCTGCTATGTCACCTGCTATGACACCCCTGCACAGGCCCTCAGCCCTGCACTTGGGCCGGTTGCCTCACGGTAGAGCACATGGGGAACTGCTTGGGAAAATGCGGCCACGGCCGCAACCAAGTGCTACCCGTGTCCGGGGATGTGGAGGCTTCTACAGAAACTGTCCCCCAGGTTCCTGAACCCAGGCCCCAACCTGACCCTGAACCTGCCCTGGTCCCCGAGCCTGCCCCCGCGTCTGCCCTCATTCCCAACCTGTTGGAGAAGCCCCGTCGCCGGGGACGGCTCCTCCAATTTTGTACCCGGCTATGCCTGCTTTCCTGCTGTAACCAGCCTCCCCCACCACCACCCTGCACCCCGAAGACTCCGGCCAGAGCCATTGAGACACAGGATAAGGAGGGAGAAGAGGAGGAGCCACAAGAAGAGGCCATGGACCCAAGTGAACCCTATTGGCAAGACATAGAGGCAGCCAGGAGCCTGGAGGCAGAGGATGACCCCTCAAACCGTGAGCCCACTCCTGGCACTCTGGGGGGACACCTGCAGCCTGGAGACCCTCAAGAGCATGGCCAGGGCACTGGCCCTGAAGACCCAATAGCAGGTCTGCTCCCCCTGCCAGGGCCCAGTGACACCGAGGGCCCTGCCTTTGGGAGGAGGCCAGAAAACAACTGTGGGGAGGAGGAGTTTAACATCATCAGCCTCCTTCCTTTTCAGGAGGATGCTGTCAGCTCCTCGGACTCTGAGTGGTCAGTGTTGGAGAGTGGGGTCACCTCTGTTAGTGAAGACCTCTCCTGTGCTTGGGGAGAATTCAGGAGAGAGGAGGCCATGGCTGACCTGGATGATGGCCCTTTTGGTATCATGGGCGTAGACCAGCTCCACAAGAGCCATTGGGTGAACAACCTGCCTGACGAGGTGGAAAACAGCTCCAGCACCTCCCAGGTCTGGAGTCTCTTCTCTAGCCTGGGGCCCAGTGATAGTGATACTACCGAAGATGGGGACGATGAGGAAGACCAGGAGGCGAAAGATGCTGAGGTGGACATCATCAGCATCTTTCGCCTCAATGACGAACAGCTCGGCTCCCTGGAGGCCCAGGAGCAGTTTCCCTCCACAGCAGGCATCCCCGGGACAGCAACCCTTCGGGGTTTTGAAGGGCCACGATCCTCACAGAGTCTCCCCTCCCCCCATGCTGGCTCCGGGGAGACTGTAAAAGAAAGAGAGACAGGACAGCAACAACTAGGCCAGGTGCTGTGGGGGCCAGAAGACCTCCCTGGTGCTCTCCCGACCTCGTTGCCTCCATGCCTTCCCCAGCCACCATCTCGGGAAGGCCCCCAGGAATGAACCAGCTGTGCAGCCACCACGTTACCACCCAGAGTGAGGAGGCCTGGACCTGCCCTGTCCTGGGAGCAGACGCAACCTCCACCAAGGGGCCTCCTCTTCCCTGCCCCTGTGACATCGTGGGGCAGGCCAAAGAACACCTGGAAGAGAAGGGAGAAGGCGGTAAAAAGGAGAAGATGAGCTCTCCTTGCCCAGGAGACAAAGCAGGCAGGCCCCTGGAAGCAGAGGATGACCTCCCTCCATGGCTCCCTGCCCTAACAGGCCCCTCTGGGCCTCAAGAGGGAAGCCTGAAGCCCTGACTGTGCTTGCACCCAGAGTCAGGAAGCACAGGGCTCCTCTGGGTGTGGCCTCCCCGAGGAATATGCAGAGCCCACATTGGGTCGATCGCCCCCTCCCACGTGGAGGCAGGGGAGAATTTCGAGGCCTGCCTCAATCCCCCTCACCAGGGGACAATCCAGCCAGGGCCCTGTAGGCCCAGGAGGCCACTCTGCCTTCGGGAGCAGTCCCGGGCGTGAGGCAGGACACCTACATCTCTGCCGCTCCATGGGACATGGAGCCATCAAGGGACAGAAGACGAAGGTGCTCATCGTGAGGCATCGCATGCCTGGCCCCCAGATGAGCCCCAAGTTCGACTCCAACAATGTGGTACTCATTGAGGATAATGGGAACCCCATGGGGACCCCAATTAAAACACCCATTCCCACCAGCCTACGCCAGAGGGAGGGCGAGTACTCCAAGGTGCTGGCCATCGCCCAATACATTGTGTAAGCAGAGCCCAGGCCTCTGGCTGCAGGGGCTCACGAGGGAGCGGGGCAGTTCTGGGAGCCTTGGCTGGGCTGAGAGGGCACCTGGGGCCACGCAGCCATTCCTCTCAGGCAGGGTAGCTGTCCTTCCAGCGAATAAACTTCTTGTGTCTGTTTTCTTAAATTAAAAAAAAAAAAAAAAAAGCGAGCAGGCCCAGCACTGCCCTGGGCACAGGTGCACCAGTGGCTGTGAAGAGCCTGGATCAAGAGCTCGCCCTCTTCCAGAAGCCAGCGCCCTGAGCACCAGCGTGCGGATCTGGGGGATCCACTCTCCCAAGAGATGGCAGATGTACGTCTTCTCCTGCACAGGCGAAGCCTTCGTAACAACCTGGCAAGGTTAATGCATCATTCAAGCCTGGAAAGGAGGAGAAAAAGGAATCAAAGGGCCGAATGATTATTTGGGAAGCTCTCGTCATGTGACCGGGCACACACATGGCAGAGTCGTGGAGTTTGTAGACTCTCTGGACTGCAGAGGTCATGGGCGCCCGTGACCGTGGAGGTTACTGTGGCTGCAGACATTGAGGTCACCTTCACCATGGACAGAGGTGGTCACAGACCGAAGAGATCGCAATCCCTCTGACCCGGAGGGCGCACTCATTCCAGACCAAGAGTGTCCCAGTCAGTACAGACGATGGTCACGTCCCTCAGACCAGAGAGGTCGATGGCTCCAGTGTGTGATGTTCATGTCCCTCAGTTGGAGGAGATCACATCGCCGCAGACTAAAGTGTCTGAATCACCGCAAATTGTGCTGGCTGCAATGCTGCCCATTGCGGTGGTCGCGTCGCTGCATATTGTGGTTGGTGCATTGATGCAGATCATGGCCTCACAGCATAGAGTCATGCATTGCTGCACACTGTCGTGGTCGCAATGAGCAGATTGTCGTGTTGCATTGCTGCAAGCTGGTGGTCGCTGTGCAGCAGGTTTTGGGGTGCACTGCTGCATGTTGTAGGGGCCGCATCGCTGCACGTTGTGGAGGTCGCCGTCCCTACAGTGATTGGTTGCTGAGTCGAGGTCGCCGTCCCTACAGTGATTGGTTGCTGAGTCGAGGTCGTCGTCCCTACAGTGATTGGTTGCTGAGTCGAGGTCGCCGTCCCTACAGTGATTGGTTGCTGAGTCGAGGTCGTCGTCCCTACAGTGATTGGTTGCTGAGTCGAGGTCGTCGTCCCTACAGTGATTGGTTGCTGAGTCGAGGTCGCCGTCCCTACAGTGATTGGTTGCTGAGTCTATTGGAGGCCACTTCGGGTGGAATTGTCTCCTCATTTCAACTTCAGATCTCTCTCGTCCGATACCTCTCTCCTTTAGGACACTTGGAACAGTCTCCGTCTGGATTCCCGGAACAGAACCCTACACCGCTGTGCTTGAAATGTTCTTCACGATGCTGTCTACCTTGGGCAGAACTACCCCATTTTACAGTTCACAATGGACTCACTTTGGACAGTCTTTCAAGAAATTTATCTGTTAATATTCAGTTTCTCAGTTTTCTTTGAAGGTCTTAGTTTTATTTTATATTTTTCATTTTTATTGAATTTTATGAGTTTCCTTTGTAATTAATTACTTTTAGTTTTTATTTTAGTTTTACATTTTTAGTTTTTATTTTATTTTAAATTTAATTTAATTCTTAGTTTTTATTTTGTTAAAATTTTTAAGTTATGGTTTTTAATTTTAATCATATTTTAACTTTTTTAATTTTAAGATTTCATTTCATTTGTTTCAAATTTTATTTTTAAATTTTTTATTTTATTGATTTACTTTTTAAAATTATGTTCCTTTGAAGAAAAGGCATCTCATGTATTTAATTTAATTTTATTAATTTCAATTGTAATTCATAACTTTTAGTTTTTATTTTATTTTAAATTTAATTTAATTCTTAGTTTTTATTTTGTTAAAATTTTAAGTTATTTTTAATTTTAATCATATTTTAACTTTTTTAATTTTAAGATTTCATTTCATTTGTTTCAAATTTTATTTTTAAATTTTTATTTTATTGATTTTTTAAAATTATGTTCCTTTGAAGAAAAGGCATCTCATGTATTTAATTTAATTTTATTAATTTCAATTGTAATTCATAACTTTTAGTTTTTATTTTATTCTTAATATTTAATTTCAGATTTAGTTTTTATTTAATTTTAATTTTTAGTTTGTTAAAAGTATTGTTGTTTTTAATTTTAATCATATTTTATCTTTAACTTTAAATTTCATTTAATTTGTTTCAAATTTGTATTTCAAATGTTTTTATTTTATTAGTTTTATAGTTTAAAGTTTGTTTATTTACGGAAAACCCATCGCATGTATTTCATTTATATTTTATTCATATATTTTTCATTTTTCTTTAATTTTTGTAATGACATACTTCCATGAAATTTATCTTCTGTTTTTCTCATTTACGTCTTAAATTATTTTATCTTTTTTATGATTTATTTAATTATTTGAAAAGCGAAGTTACAAAAGGTAGAGGCGGAGAGAGAGACAGAGAGAGATGGGGTGGGGAACCTGAAGCCTTGCCACTGCAGGCCTCACCTTGCTGGGACTGCTACCACTGCTGTCTCCTATCCGAAGCAGGCTCCTGTGACACCCAAGTGAGTTGCACCCACCTCCTAAATTGCCTTGCATTCCTACTGAGGGAGGAGGCACTGAGCAGCCTGAGAACCCCCAGGCTAACGTGGAGGTCCTGGGGGGTGGACAGACACCAGGGTAGGCTGCACTGCCTCTCTACTGGCTCTTTGTGTCTCATCACTCAGTGACAGAGATTGTAGACTCCCTGTGCTTGCCCACTTACACTTGGCAGGTCCCAGCTGCTGCTCCCACCACTGGCTCGCTGGCAGTGCCTGCCCTGCTCTGAAGCCTTTCTGTCCTTCTGCCTTGGTAAGGTAAGCACACACAGTTCCTCAACCTTGATTGTCACTGCCAACCCTCTTCCTCCGCTTAGGTCCAGGCCACTGGGTAGGTTCCATCTTCATCCCTGGTTCCATCACCTCCCTTTCTGATCTCCCCCAAATCCCAAGACTCACCCCCTCCTCTCTGAAGCCCTCTTCCTACAGAGGAGAATCCCTGACACCGTGTATGTGTGTTACCCTCCTCGTCTTTCTTGCCTACCCCTGCGACATGGACAGAGCTGTATGAACATTGCTGTGGACCCACGCTGTCAGCACAGAGCCCAACACTTCTACACCAGGCATTTCTGCCATCACAGCAAGTGCACCTGCACACTTGACCCTTCAGCCCAGTCTAGACCCTCAGAGCAGTGACATGGGCACCACCTCCCCCCTCCTTCTAGTGCTATTGTCTTCAGCTCTCTTCAAAATTCCAGTAGGTGCACTGTCTCTTCTCCCTATGGTCATGGCAGTGTGGATTGGTGACATCTGTAAAGGCACGAGGCCCCACCAGCCCATTTACCCTAAGGGTTCCCACCCCAATTTTTAGCCACCTCTTTAGCTCAGAAACTGTCGTCCTGTCCACCTTTAGGGCCCCCGATGGGCAGGAACAAAAAGACTCTCTCATTCATGTGTCTTCACTTATAGGCCATCCCGTAATGTCTCCTGCAGTCACCTCCACCCCAACAGGCAGTTCCTCTGCTACCGTGCTGCTCAAGCTGCCGTGGACCACACTGAAGCTACGGACACCACCCTCCTTCCAAGGTGGTCATCTGCCGTTCTCTGGCTGCCTCTGTGGGGAGCTGCCTCCCATTGTCCATGGTGCTTCCTGGTGCTGGGCACACACCACGCAGTGTCAGTGTTGCTCAACGCAGTCTTTGCCAGTTTGCTGGCACAGTCAATCTAGGGACCAACTGCAGTCCCAATTACCCCTTGAATCCAGGAGCTCCCACTCTTCCCACAAGTTGGGTACCTGATGCGCACCATTGTGAGAGCACTTTGGTTTTGTGGAGGCCAATGCTCCAACACAAGCCATTGGCCTAACTTCCTCTCCCACCAAGTCCCAGGCTTAGGCTGTCAGGTATGTATGTTTGACACAGCCGTCATGTTACCCTGAAGGAAGCCAGACTGGCTTCCCAGTTGACTGCTAGCTTTATAATCATTGCCAAGTCATTGTGTAGTGCTTAGTTGGCACTAGGCACTGTACCTCATTGTTTGCCAGCCTGCTCTGGAGCCCGTAGAGTGTCTGTGGGACCAGCACCCCCTCTGACTGTCAGGAGCATTGGGTTTTGTGTGTCCCCTCCAGGCCCCATCTCTGATTCCAAAGTTTCAACTTAGGCACAGGGACACCTGCCGCCATTCCTTCTCCTGCTTTTGGTCAGGGACCTTTGATTCCAGCTAGCCTCAGGGGCAGGGCCTCTCAAATTAAAAAAGAAAAGAAAGACAAGAAAAACCCACAGAAAAATACTAGCTCCCCCTTCAGCAAGAACATCAGGGTCCCTGCAGCTCAGGTGGTGTGCCCTTTTTGACTGTGGAGGAGCCAGCATTGTTGATGATGCACCTGGGTATGGGAGCAGCTGTGCTGGTGCTGTGGGCACAGGAAGCAGCCACTGGAGTCCTCTGCTCTCTCACCCTTGGCATCATAGTAGCAGCCACCAAAGCCTTCCTTCCTCCTTTCAGTCCCTATAAAACTTACCCTGCTCTCTTCCTACAGAAGCGTGAGGCCGAATCTCAATGTCTGTGTGTATACGTCGGAGTGGGTGTGTGTGTGCTATGCATATCTGTGTATGCCGAAGGACGTGTGGCAGATTGATCTTGTGAGAACCCGCTGGATATGAAGGCCCCCTGTGTGGACTGTACGGGATCTCCGCGTAGATCACCGGCCGCACCCTCCCTGACTTCATGTGGTCACCTGAGGACCCAACTCTGCACAGCGTCTTCACTGTTAGAGCCTGGAGGACTCGCCCTGCTGCCCACCAGCACTCCCTGTTCCTTGGACTTTCTCAGCCCTGTTATCATTAAAACTGTGCTCTTGTTCTGCCTCTGCTCCTCTTTCTTTGCTTTGTGACTCACCGTGGATTAAGAGTCCGCATGGGCAGTGGTGATGCGTCAGGCCAGGCCGTGCCAGTTTACAGTGAGAATAGCATGAGCAAGTAGCTTTCTGTTATGGTTGCACAGGCTGACTGAAGGAGAAGCCAGGCGGAAGTGAGTCCCAGAGGGGGAATGACCAGGGGCCCCCCTCCGCTCCTGCTCGCCTCTTCCCTCTGCGCTTCTCTCCCAGCACCGTGGCACCACTGATGGCTAGGTTCTCTCTGTCCTGTATTGAGACCATGCTTTATGGTTTTAATGGTTTAAAAAAACGTTTACATGTAGTTTTGTGTATTTTTTTAAATTGTATTCCTTTCCTGTTGCTCTCAGTGAAATGTGTGTGACATCCTGCTCCTTGTATCCAGATAGGATGGGTGTGGCATCAGTTCCTGGCATCTAGAGGAACTAAGAGATCGTGAGCCATTCCTACTCTGTAATTATTGAAAATTTAATTTCCCTTAGGTTCATCATGCTGCTTACAAGTATCTAATAACTAGTCTTGCTGTAGTCTAAAGCATCAAGATACCAAATACAAGAGTATTTACACTCATTTCTAGGTCACATAGGAGTTCAAAGTTCTGCTCCATTTTCACGGCATTGAATTGCAAGGAACACATGCAGGTGAAGTCTTAAGATAGGTTAGGAGAGAACATGCATTCTCCTCAACTTCTAATGTAGCTTGTTAGACAGTTTTTATTCACTAGTCATTATGTATTCATTAGACATTTAGTGATGATACCAGCCAATTGCTGTCTGTGAAACATTAGACAGATGATCAGGTGTGGCTGAGTGTTAAATCACGTCTGGATGATGCACCTGCAGGGTTTGACAAATGCAGAATGCAGATGTGTACAGTATGATTGGGTATTTTTTAAAATTTTTTTCCCAAGCATACAGGGTAAACAAAACAAAACATGATAAGATTAATGTAGATTTTTAGAAACTTCCCTTTGTGTGAGAAGAACAGATTAAATGGAGCCAGAACAAAGTTTGCCTTGAGCCTTATGGCAAACCCTGCCTTCACCCAAGCAAGAATGAAACAATGAGCTATTGGTCTCACAGGAGCTGACGGCAGAGGTGATAAGGAGGGGAGCGAACAGGAAAATTAAGTCAGCAAAGTTAATGGACACGGACCTGTTCTAGCCATCTGTCTTGGATAAAGGGACACAATTAGTCCTGACAAAAAGTTATGGCAGCCGGCGCCGCAGCTCACTAGGCTAATCCTCTGCCTTGCAGCGCCCGCACACCGGGTTCTAGTCCAGGTCGGGGTGCCGGATTCTGTCCCGGTTGCCCCTCTTCCAGGCCAGCTCTCTGCTGTGGCCTGGGAGTGCAGTGGAGGATGGCCCAGGTGCTTTGGCCCTGCACCTGCATGGGAGACCAGGATAAGCACCTGGCTCCTGGCTTCAGATCAGCGCGATGCGCCGGCCACAGCGTGCTGGCCGTGGCGGCCATTGGAGGGTGAACCAACAGCAAAGGAAGACCTTTCTCTCTGTCTCTCTTTCTCACTGTCCACTCTGCCTGTCAAAAATAAAAAAATAAAAAATAAATAATAAAAAATTATAATGGCATGAGATGCCTGTGAAAGATCCAGATAATGTTTGGAGGGATGCTCCTTCACATTTTAATCAATTTTTTGCATCAGTGGACCATCTAGCTTATCTCATGGATTATTGTAGTAGATACTGAATTAGTTGCAAGAAAGCAAAATTCCCGACCTGTAGAGCCTACATTCTATTTGGAGGGGAGAAAAGAAACAAAAACAGACACCAGTGCATTTTAAAGGAATCTGGTAGGTTAGGTAGTGACAGATGAGGTGAAGAATAGAGCAGTATGTGGAAACTTTGATCTGTGGACAAGACCTCTCCTGGAGGGTGGACTCTGGACAGTCTAGAAAGAGGCAGTACTGTGTTGATCGTGGGTTCTGTCTAATAACCTTGCAGCTATAGCTCTGATGTGTGGGGTTTGCAGTCTGGGCCACAGGACCATTTTCACTTCCTCCTGCTAGGGAAATTTTTAAGCCAAAAAAAGAGCTACCTTTAGAGAACATCATTTCTTTTTATTTTTTTTATTTTTATTTATTTATTTTTTTGAACAGGCAGAGTGGACAGTGAGAGAGAGAGACAGAGAGAAAGGTCTTCCTTTTGCCATTGGTTCACCCTCCAATGGCCGCCATGGCCGGCGTGCTGCGGCTGGCGCACCGCGCTGATCTGAAGGCAGGAGCCAGGTGCTTCTCCTGGTCTCCCATGGGGTGCAGGGCCCAAGCACTTGGGCCATCCTCCACTGCCTTCCCGGGCCACAGCAGAGAGCTGGCCTGGAAGAGGGGCAACCGGGACAGACTCTGGTGCCCCAACCGGGACTAGAACCCGGTGTGCCGGCACCACTAGGCGGAGGATTAGCCTGTTGAGCCACGGCACCAGCCGAGGACATCTTTTCTGTGTCATGTTTAATAACAGATCCAGGGTCTGCTTGGAGTCTACCTGGTTAAAGGAATCACTTGGAGAGCAAGCCACATATTTCAATGCCAACAAGGCCTGAAAACTCACTTCCTCCACAGTTCCATTTGTCTCAGTCCAGCCTGCTTAGGAAAAGGCAGGCTCCTAGAAACTCTGATTGTGCTTGGAGAGAATTGTGAAAGATTCAGATGGAGTTCCTGGCTCCTGGCTTTGCATTTTTCCAGCCTGAGCTGTTACAGGCATTGGGGGGTGAACCAGCAGATGGGTGATTCTCTGTCTCTGCCTCAATGCCTGTCTAAAAGAAATTAAAGTTTATAAAAAGTTACTTAATTTTACAAGTAGCAGAGAAGCACATGTCTGACACTTGAGGTTTTAGTTACAATGACTAAAAGGATCTGCATTACTCCATAAGCTTCAGAGTGGTCCCAGTGCTATTTTTAAGGAACTTCAGGACCCTTTGAAAAATAGAAACAGCTGTTTCTCTTGATTAACTTTACCTTTTCCAAAACACAAAACCTAGAAAATGTCCTGAAACACTGGTGCATACGCAGCTCCCTCTGAGTCAGTGTGCAGTCCATCTGTCATCCCAGCAGTGAGGTCTCCCAGACTTTCAAACTGGGAGCTCCAGTGTCCCTTCAGTGAGTTGGGTCATGTGGAGGAGTCCCACAAATTACCCTTGTCAGGGTCTCTGCTGCTGTAGTGATTTTATAGGCTAATTGAAAAAGAATGTTAGGAACTAATTGGTAAATGACGGTTTTCTTTGAAGGTAGGCAGACAGTGGAATCAAAACAATTGCATGTGTTCTGGTTGTTATTGCTGTTGTTGTTTCTAGACATAACCAAGACTGGTGACAACAGAGCCAGGAAGTGGCCATACTGATTTGTAGGAACTTTGTGACCCCCAGTTTCTCAGCCCTCTGGACCTCTAGGTAACAAGGAAAGTCATTTACTGAATCGAGCAATTGTTGCTTCCTCTTTTTCAAGGTTTCCTTGACAAGGAAAGATGGAGTCATGGTTCTGCTCTGCCCTCAATCCTGAAATCCAGCTTCTGCAGCCCAGGACAAGGTTTGGCATTGGTTTACGTAAAATGGATATTCAAAATGGTGAGGAGATTGTTGACACCTTTTCTACAAAGACATGCCCTTGGGAGAAACATGGGTGGCAATACCTTCATTTCCTACGTGTCTACCCCCAGGGCTCTTGAGATCCAGGGCTGCAACAAAGTTGAGCTGTTTTTCCTCTGACATGGAGGGAAATTCTTGACTGGAACTCAAGAATATAGTGCTGGGCTGCCTATGTGCCCTGTCCGGAGTTGTTTTCATGCACAGGCTCCTGTAAGTTACAAAAGCCTTGTCTTTTAGGCGATACTGCCACACTGAATAGAACTGAGGATGCCAATCATGCTGTTACCAATAGAATCCACCTGTAAATTATCCAGGGTTATACCTCATCAGTGGCAAAGAGTCATTCATATTGTCAGGAAAATGCTTTTAGAATTGTTTATACTCTTTGCACTTGGGAATTTTATTTTCACCAGGAGCCAGTTTGAATCATCTTCTCATCACTTTGTTAATCATGACTATGTGTCCAAAATTGTGGGGAGCAACTCGGACTAGACTAAGTTACTGGAATTAAGACTTATTCTATGCATCTGCTCTCCCACAATATGGCGCTGGGAGAGGAATAAACAACTTTTACACAGCTGCCTCCAGTTCGACCAGTAACCTGCGGGAGCTGATCCTGCTCCTGATTGGAGGAGAGCAGCGTACTCGGCGTGTGGGTAGCAGAGTTGGGATTGGTGGAAGAGGACTATAAAGGAGGAGAGAGACAACATGCACCAGGAACATCTAAGGGGAACACCTGAGGAACATCTGAGCAGCCCCCGAGAGAGCCGGCCAGCCAGCGGTGTGCCGCTCCCCCGCGGAAGTGGAGAAAGTGGCAGTGGGGCCCACCCCTCCACGGAGGTGGAGGGACGACAGCCAACCCGGGAAGAACCAGCAGAAAACCCAGGAAGGGCCGAGCAGACAAAAGAACAGCACAGGGTCCTGTGTCATTCCTCCACGAAGAGGGGGAGCGACACAAAATGACCTCAAAGAATCCTGGCCAACCATGGAATCCTTGGAAGCATGATAGAGTCTCCTGTAAGGACCAAAGGACTTTACTGCTGGGGTCCCTTTTTGCCTTCTAGCTTCTTTGCCTTCAAAGCAATATTGTACCATCTCTTGGTGTTTTTGGTCACTAACCCTGTCTCCCGCCAGCCAGGCCCCAGGTACCTTCCTACATGGATGAGGAGCTGGAGCTCAGGCCTTCTGTGTAGAATACCGATGCATCTCTCTTTCCAGCAGGCAGCACATTTGTATTTATCATGGCAGGCATAAAACCAGCATATACACAGAACAGCTACTGTCTGTGGGTCTCCAGCACCCAACAACAAAAATTAAGTCCAAAAAGCCTAATATATTTCACAGTGTGTGTTCCAGAAGTTTGGAAGTAACTACTTA